TTCCTCACTAAGTGTACGCAGTGCCACTCACTAATTAACTGTTATAAAGGAATTGATGCTAATGCTGTCAAAGGTCTATGCTCAACTCAGAAGCCATCTTCTCGTGTCATATAAGTGACATTTTAATTCAATTGTGTCTTGTTAAAAAAAAAAAAAGTGTAATCTCTAGTGGGCAGCAGCTTCCAATTAGAAAGTGAAGATTAATAGTAAGCTAGAAAATGTAATAAACAACACAAAACCCCATTTCAAAGACCCTAGGGAAGTCTGGCAAGGGGGTCTCAAATTTGTTGGGGTCCCCTTATCGGCTAGAGCTGTCTGCTGGAAAAGTAATAGCACAACCTGGCCTGATGCCCTGGTGTTCAGATTGTGTTTTCTAAGGTAAAAGAAGGCTACAGAGAAGTGGGGTGGAAGTGTGATGGAGTGGGCTCCTCTCATAGAATGGTTGGGGACAGGACTGTCCTGGGTGTATGAATTGAAGGAGGCATAGAATTGAGATCAGACGAAGGGAAGAGAGAAGTGCAGGCTGGGCACCCCCAACCTCACACACAAAATGGAGAAGTGGGGCAGGGGCTTTGCATCCAGAAAAAGATGGAGAGCCAAAGTCGGCTAGCAGAGTCAGAGCAAAGAAAATCATATATCTGTTTGTTTAAATCATAGTAAGATTTGAAAACTCAACTAATTAAGGTTCTTGCCTTTAGACCTTGTTGGCTTTAATTTTTCTCACTAAAATAACAGTTTATCCACATTCCTGACAAAGCTAGTGACTGAGTTCCTTTATCTCCCTTTGTTCACCGAGTTCTCCTAATGAATTAAGTTCTTCCATTTACTGACTTACTTGAGCCAATGTTGCCCTAAGTGTAGGACTCATAACACATGATTTTCGGAGGTACATAGACAGACGTTCTTTTCATTTGAATTGCACTATCTTTTAATGGTATCAGCATAGTACAACTAGGTTGTCAAACCTATGTGATTTGAAGTTTCCTCTTAATTGTATTTTAAGTTCAAATGTGAGTAAATTTAAAGAAAATTATTAAGCAAATCTTATGACTAATGGAAATGACCCAAAATAACAGCCCCAAAAGAGATGTGATTAACTGAAGTTTAAGAAACCCTGATCTGGTGCCTTCCATTGTCCTTTGAGATGAAAAGATAGCAGGCATCCAGAGAAAGCATATCTTTCAGTGTAGCCCAGATCCAGAATATCTTTGCACAGTGACTTCTTTTTAGCCAACACATATTGGATAAAGAAGGATCACTGCAAACCCAGATCCTTTATCTTCTCAGAAGCCTACTTCCTTTTGATGCTCTCTTTCCTCAGGAGCTTCTGTCAAGTTCTTACTAGCAGGGCTCCCCAGTTGCACCAAACTGACAGGTCTACATAGACCCACCATCACAGGTCCACCATAGCTTTTAACCCTCCCTCTGGAAAAAACCTAGGGTTGCCACTTAACTTCATAAAACAGAACCAGAGTAAGGACAAAACAGCAAGGAATGACCTTGTACCACAATGCAAATATGTGCTACTGACCATGACAATGACAGGAGCTTAGAAAGGGTAGTCAGGAACAATTTCATGCCAGTGGGCCACTGGACGGACTTAGAATTATATATAGTTATATGATATTCATATATCACCATCATATCAACTACCACTTTTTGATAGCCTACTATATATTGGGCCACTGGACTAGGCACTTTATTCATGAATGTCATTCTACTTGGTTCTCACATGATTATGCAAAAATTAAGTACTACTATTTGCATTTTCATAGATCAGGAGAGGTTCCCCAAGATCATACAGCTTAGCAAAGTTAAAATTGGTGTCATCTCTCAATTCCAAACCCTGTGCCCTGAAAACACTCTGCTCTTCTAGGGACTTCAGTTGGACTGGGGCACCTATGGAGGTTTTTCCTGCCTGTCTCTTCCACACAGGCTCCTAATGAGCTTCTTTCCAAGCTGCCTACAAAGTCAGAATCAACAGTTAAGCTATTTCCCTTCCAGCTGCCACCCCCACCACAATCCTTCACCAAGGCAGAACTCCTATCCCCCAACAAAAAACCAGTTACCCAAAGAGGCACTCATCCAGGCAAGGCCCATCCCCCACATTATACCGCTCAGGCTAGAGGGTCCCTAAACTCAGAAAGGTTCAGACAATGATCAAAGCATCACCCTTTCCTTCAAGAAAGAGGAGTCCACAAAATCCTGGGCTTATTAGCATGTTTCTAAAATGCCAAGAGATAGCTTTCCCACTCTCATCTTTGGCATTTGTTCCCTCTCACTCAGGAGGAGCATCTCCCAGAACAGAGCCTTGACCTGCTGTACTTTCTGCCTGGAACCATTTTCTCTCATGAACTCACCCTAGCTTCCTCCCTCACCTTCTCCAAGTCTTACTCAAACATCACATCTAGTGAGGCCTTCCTCAACCATCCCCTGTCTTCTGCAGTCCTTGCTTAATTTTACCTGGCTTTGTTTTTGTTAATTTTATTTTAATTTTTGGCAGCACTGGGTCTTCATTGCTGCTTGCAGGCTTTCTTTAGTTGTGGCACTTGGGGATACTCTCTGGTTGTGGTGTGCAGGCTCCTCATTGCAACCGCTTCTCATTGCAGAGCACGGGCTCTACACACCCGGGCCCAGTGGTTGTGGTACACAGGCTTATCTTCCTGGACCAGGGATTGTACCCACGTCCCCCACATTTTCAAGCGGATTCTTAATCACTGGACCACCAGGAAAGTCCACCTTGCTTTTTTTTTTTCCTAAGTGACATTATTCATGTTTTATAGGAGACCTTAACTGTCTGTATTAGAGACTCTATGATAGCCATTATTTCAGGTAAATGTTCCATGGGGTCACAAAGTCAGACACAACTGAGCGACTGAACACATACACGCATAGCTTCACAGGGCTCTCCTAACAAAGGACCACAACCTGAGAGGCTTAAGCCAGAAGCTCACCCTCTTGCAGTCTGGAGTCCACCTTGCTTTATTTTGTATAGCCTTCATCTCCACCTGAAACTTTGAATGCTTATTTATCAGCTATCTCCCTTGTTCCATGAGGACAAGGGCTACATTGAAAGCAGTAAGTAAATATTTGTTGAATGAATGAATGGACGAATGAATGGATGAGAGGACAAGTCAGCAGCGGTATAAGGCAAAAGGAAAGAGAAATGTAAGCAAGCTAGGCACTTCCAGAGCCAAGCCTGATCCCAGCTCGCAACCTGTGACAAGTTGCTGGCACTATATGCAGGGCACACTTCTAGGTGCCGGGGAATCAGCATGAACAAAACAGACAGAAATCTATGACTTGTTGGAGCTTACAGTGTACTGTAAAAGACAGATGATAAACTCACCAAATAAAATATATAATATTTTAGGTGGTGATAAGCCCTGTGAAGGAAAATAAACCACAGAAGAAAAATAAAGAGTATCAATAGAAGGGGACACTGTGCAGTTTTTAACAAAGTTATAGAAGGCCTCATTGGAAAATTGACATTTGAGCAGAGACCCGAAGGGGTGACGGAGTGAGTTGTGCAGATTTCTGAAGGATGAGCACTTCCAGGCAGAGGGAACACAAACACTGTGCAGGGTACATGAAGGACAGCAAGGAAGCCTGGGTGGCTGGAGAGTGAGTGACCAGGAGAGAGTTTGCCAATGAAGTCAGATTGATAATGTAGAAAAGATGGCTTGTAAGTCACTGCAAGGACCTGTACTTTTGGACTTAAGAGGGAAGGTTAGAGAAAGGAATGGTGGTCACACCTGACCCTGGTAAGAGAAAGGTGACGGAAACCTGGACTCCAGTCCTCACTTTTATCCCAAACACCAAAGAAACAGGATCCTCTCCTGTCTCAGCAACTTCTCCCTACACCTTGCCCTGGGGAGCTCTGAGCTTAGTATAATTACATTCTCCTGCTTCAAGTAAAAACTTTACTCTGAATCTGACCCTAATAAGAATTCTAATACTTACACTGAACATTTACAGAATGCTTTATATATACACCCTTTCACTTAATCTTACAACCTCTCAATACAGAAGACAGTATCCTCAGTTTATAAAGGAGGCAAATGAAGCTCAGTGACCTTAAGGAACTTGGCCAAGATTACACACTTAGTAAGAAACTGAATGGAACTTGATTTCAGGTTCTCTGATTCCTTTCTACTTCACACAACTGAGAACCACTCTCCATTTTAGTGATTCTCAAAGTATGATATGCAATCCTGTATGGGCTGTAAACTGATCTGAAAAATCTGCATATTTTCTCCCTGGATTTTTGTGAGTAACATACAGCAATTTCAGACTCTGGTTTTTACATATGACAGAAGCTATTTTAACTGTGTCAGTACGCCATTAAAGTATGCTCAAATTTGAAATTCATGAATATATTATTAAAATGTTATTAAAATAGATTCTAGTTCTATTTTATACCAAGTCTGGCTGCTGCACAATGCTTGTCAATGATACAAAGCTCTGATTGGATAGAAAATGGAATTCTCCTGAAAGGTTCTGAGTGGGGCTCATAACTTACTAGATCTTGCCCCATGTAAGTATTAGCGGGCTACAGTTCATGGGGTCACAAAGAGTCGGACACAGCTGAAGCAACTTAGCATACCCTCATGCACTGTATGACCAATAGCCCATCTTTTTTGCTCCAGACTGGAAATTGTTTTTCAATCTCTCTTATTCGGACCACAAATTCAGACTATAACATGGCAAAAGTCTAGATTTCCATTTGACACAGGAATCACCCCCCGCTTTGTCCTGAAGGGTAGCTCCCAAGACAGAGGAAGAAAGAGGTTAAGCAGATGAGACAGAAAATCTCATCCAATGACTGTCACATGACTTGGCAACTGGGGCCAGGGTTGTGGTAAGGGAAAGGCAAGGCAGTTTTTAGACTGGGTTTATCAGCTGTGCAGAATCCACTAATATTTGGCAAAGGAACCTATCTGAACGTGGAACCAAGTAAGTGACTCAGTTTTCTTCTTCTTCTTCTTCTTCTTTTGACCACTGTATCTGTCAGTTATCTTTGTTAAATATTTTCCCAAATCATCAGTTTAGGAAACACTTCTCAGGTTGTTGAAAGTTCCTTCAGTAAGTGATTTAGCAAGGGATGGTGGAGGAGCAGGGACTGCTCCTTTTGTTTCTGACAAAATCCAGGGTGGGAATGCATTGTAGTAGGCTTCTTGGTCCACTCTCCATCCTGGAGTGTCTTTGTGGCCTTCCCTCTGCCTGACTCCCCTTAGAGAACCAGCTTACTTAACGCCCATGCATTCGCCATTTACAGATCTGGGCCATGACCAGACCTGTATTACAGCTCATCTAATAAATGTGAGGAGCCATGGCAAGCATGTTAGGCCAAGAATTGAAAGACCGAGTTCTAATCCTTCTTTTTGACCAGCTCTGTGACTTAACTTCACAGTACTTGAGTTTCCCTCTAGCTGATTCAAATGATTTCCAAGGTGTCTTCCAGCTTAGCTGCTAAGATCCTGAATATCAGCCAGACCAATTCTAAGGGACAATATATTAAGAAAAGAAAGAAAGTTCAATGATGTGAATGTCTTATGATCCAGTGGAAATTCTGAGATTTAATGAAAAATTACACTGAAAAAGGAGTCCAAACTCTCTCTATATGCCCATTACTTAGCCTTTGTGTGGCCAAAGGAATTTTGACAAGTGGCAGCTGAAGCTCCTTTCAGTCCTGTCATCTATTACTCTGGTTCAATGGATGGGAACTGGGGTCTGGAGACCTAAGAGTCAGACACAGCTCAGTCACTATCTTAACTGCTCTTTAGCTCCAATGACTTCATCTGTAAGACAGATCTAATAATATCACCTCAAGGAGTTTGTTATGATAGTGTTTGTTGAGGTAGTGTAAGCACAAGCCATCTGGAAGTAGTAAAATGCTTATAGAAATGGCAGACATCTGAGAGTATTGGGATCTTTTGAAAAGACTCCCAGTCTTTTGCAGAAATGACTTTTGGTCCAGCCATCATGTCCTTCCAACTCTAACTGAGGCATAGTCTTTTCTGATTGACTTGAACCTTACAGCTATGTTTCTGCTGAAAATAGCCATTTGACATTCTCAGCAAAACCAAATTAATTCCTTTCTCTCTGTGAAAATATGATTGTGGAGCAAGATCTTGGGGTAAGAGACGACAGGTTGAGGAGATAACAGAAGTAAACTCTGGGACTTCCCTAAATGCCAACACTCAGAAGATAACACACATCAAAGAAGCTGCCAAAATGAAAGGCTTAGATCTCAGAAACCCTTGTAGAGCTCTACCCAGCTAACCCATCCACTTCCAAACAGATGGACTAGACAGGGAGAAAATAGGTAGTGAGATTTTGGGTCATGATGTCTGAAATAGTGTGCTGATGATACAACTCGTCTTTTGAAATGAGACTCAACTCATCATGGAACCAAGTGAGTTATGTATTTTATTTAGTGTGTATATTCCCTTGGAAGTGTGGTACAGTCCTGAATAAGCAGAGCTTCTTGAGAAATTAGGAGGTTCTAAATGGGAAATCCATTGTCATTCCTGTTGTTGCTGTAAACAGTCAATGTAAAATTGGAGAATAAAATCATTAGATCTCTCTTAAGAAAATATTCTATGTGTACTTGGAAGCTCTCTTCTGAGGATTATTGATAAGTCTTCTGCAACTGCTTAAATAAAGCCCTAGTCAGACTTCTGGCCTCTGGTCAGGGACTGGGACTAGGGAAAAGGCAAGCTCTGGATCTTTAGAGTATTTCCACTGTTGATGAGGGAAAAGAGCCCTGGTCACAGTATAGGGAGGGGGAAGGTTAGAAGAAGAAAAATATTAAAGAAGGAGTTACAGCAAAAGCACCTTCTCTGCCTCAGATGTCAATAACCAATCTGCCTTGTCTCTTTTTGCTGAGAACTTGCATTAAATAATCATGCCTGACTCACACTAAATTATTTCCAAGGTCCCATCCTTGTTTGGGTCTGCTGAGCACTGTTTTGTGCTCACCTCCCTTGTTGGCCCTGAATCTGAGGATTCTGTAAAAGGTCAGGAGTCTACACCAAAAGTACAAACACAGCCCCCAACTTTAGGACAATAGGGAAGTAGTGGACTCTCCTAGGGATACTATCCACGGGCAGTCTGTTCCCGTGTTTGGAAATCCAGGGGTATTCAGGTAGTTTGGCTAGTTGCCAACCATCAGTCACTGGAACCAGTCCAGAGAACAACAGTCTCTCGGAAGCTTTCCAAAATGCCAAAGCCAATGGGGCATTGGTTAGATTCTGATTTTACTTATTTCAGAGGCAATAAAGAAGTGGAGAAATGTACGTGAATGTGAGGAGGCAATCTGACAGTCTTGAAAGGGACTGGTAGTGTCAACATGGTCTCTGCCTCTCAGAGGGTAATATAAACTTACAGGAGTTCTTGATTGCCTTGGGCTTCCAGGGAAATAGTGGAATTTGGTGAGTTTTCTTATCTTTGAGGAGAGGGAGACTAGAGCAATGAAAAGGAGGGAAAACAGAATCACATTGTAACTGATTGCAGTCTGATTGATGTTGGGTAAATTGCATCTGAGCAAAAAGTATTGTGTTTCATTTTCCCTTTAAATCATTTCCACTTGAAATTCAGAGTTATCTGCAGTGTTAGAATCAAATCTCTGAGGCTATGCCTTTGGGAGTCCTAAAGAAGAAGGAAAGAGATGAAACCAAAGCTTAGACCCTCTGCCGAGATGCTGACCCGCACTCTCCAATGACATCCCAATTGCTTCTCCAGTTTTCTCTTCCTGCAGCGATTGAGTAAAATATGATGATATGAGGCTCAGGTAGGAGGTTTAAGAATTTCAAATCAAGCCCCTAATCCTTAAAGTTTTGACAGCAAAGAATGGTCCTTCCCTTTCGCCTAGCTCTAACCCTGGACTCTTGATTTTTTGGTGATAAGACAAAGTAATCTATACTGTTTTTAAGTTCTATTTCATATGATTACTCTGTCCTCTTGAGGCTTCTATCTGGATCCAGAGTCAAGAGAAATTATAAAACAAAAATAAGCAATCCAAAGCAGGCTCTGGTTTCCCTGACCTGTGTCCATAACACGCGGCACCACTGGGTTCCTCTGTCAGCTACCAATTTCTTGTTCAACCCTCGGGTCCTTAGAAAGTCTTTCCACAGGCTCAGGGAATTAGAAAGTAGATTTGTTGTTACTGTGAGACTCAGTCTGAGTGATGGGGGAGAAATTAGGTTTCTAATCAAAAAGCAGGATTGTGACCCAAGAGAAGGGAAACAGAATATGAGAAAAAGAGCAGTGCCTAAAACTCTCCTCAGCCTAACATTCATTACAAGAAATGTCGATATTCAGTGCCCCATTCTTACTCCCAAGCTAGTGTGTTCTTAGAGAGTCCTTTCAATAGACAGGTGTTAAATCTTCCATCTTGGAGGCAGCTATTGGTCTGCTGTCACCCCTTTCTGCTGCTCTGTCTCAGCCCTGTCCCCTGTCCCAGGGCTCCTAGGCTGGGGATTTCATGCTCACCTCCTTACCCAGCAGTTACAGTATTCTTAGCTTCAGAGGGAACTGGGACTCTATGTGCTCAGCCCCCTGATTTCATCAAGTGCAGCTTTGTAGCTCTCTGAGCCATGGGGTCTCTAGGCTGGAACTCGAGCTGGGGAGGCAGGACACAGATGCTCTAGCCCAGGCCCCAGGGCCAGCCCCAGGCTGGTTACTTGTCAGGCTGTGTTGCGATGTGCTTCTGGGAGACCCGACAGATGTTTTTTGGAGCTGGCACCAAACTCTTCGTGGAGCCCCGTAAGTTGATTTTTTTTTTCCATACATTTCTAGGGATAAGTTGACTCCTGGGACTAGACTTGCCATCCAGTTTGTGGTACATGAGAGAGTATAATTAGGAGATGGAGTAGTACAGATGTGGAGTGGGGCACAGTAAAGATACTAGGCTGAGTAGCGAAGTAGCTCTGTAACTATTAATATTAAAAAAAAAAATCTGATAAAAGAGCAGCCCAGAAAGCACAGAGGAATCTAGTAGAAGAATTATACTGATATGTTGGAATATCAGATGCAGGAGGGGCAGAGGCCCAAATTCTCCAGGTGGTTGCTTCATCCTTGCGCATCCCCTTGGCTAAGCTGTGCATATCTTTGGGCCACCTGAAGTGTCCTGCAGCTGGAAGACTTAGGAGAGAGATGGTTAACCAGGTGAGAGTAATCAGATGGAGCAAACTTATATTTCAGTGTTCAAGTTAAAGGCCATCTTGGCAGAAATCTTTGAAATTGTGAGTGACATCTGTTATCAATGTTTAGATGCTTAGAGAACCTGTAAGGTGCTCTATAAGAATCTAGAACATAGATGATTTCTAAGTTTATAAATTAAGGAAGACTGTTCAGGGAAGGTATACACTTCTTTTTGTATGTTTACCAGCACATAACCTTAGCATTAGATGGTACTCATAAAAAGAGAAAGTCTTAAAATAACAATTGCTCACACAAATAGCACTTTGAAACACATGCCAAAATGTAGTTGTATTTGTGGACCAAGAAGAAAGACTGGAAATTCTCAAAAAACAAACAATTACATCTTTAAATTTTAGACTACAATGTAGTGCAAATTTTACACAACTTCAAATTTTGGTTTAGGCTTAATATAAAATAGACTGGGTTACATGTGACAACTATACTGAATGCATTCTATTTTTCAAAAAAGGTTCGATTCAGTCATATAGCCCTTTTTTTAGTTACCATGATACTAAAGAATGAATTAAACCCTTTACCTTCAAACAACTGTTTTGAATAGATAGACATTTAGAAAGAGGATCTGAGAAAAATGTTTTTTCAAACCAATGCATCATGCTCTATCTGAAATACTAACAGCTTCAGAGCTCAATATCCTGAGTGTATGACCTTCTTCAGACTTTTGCCTTGTTGGTTATATCAAATTGTTCAAATTACTCAAGCCAGGACTCTCCATCCCAGAGTGACTATTAACAACTGCCTTTGAATGTAGATTTTTAAATCCCAAGCAAGGCTTAATTTTCCAACTAAATCAGACTAGGATTGGATCATATTTTTAAGTAATGAAGAAAATAGGAATGTTTTGGCTTTGGTTTTTAATGGACTAGTTTCCTTTCTCTATAACTCATAGTTTCCTTGAAAATCAAGTGGATTCATCTCACCAAATCAGTATTGTGAGCGAGAAATGCCACAGTTCTGAAGGGAGATGACTGAGCAGAATGTGTGGTTTCCAAGCCGTTACTGTTGGGCTTATCAGTGTCGGTTATCAGCGGCTTCAGCTATGCCGGGAAACAAAACAGTGAAGCTTTTCTCCTTTTAGGTTCCAGGAGAGCTTTTGAAAAATCCCAAACAGCCCCCGCCCCCACACCTCTGATTTTAAGGAAAGAAAAAGATGTATACACAGAGTAGCAGATAAATGATTGTCCAAGATGAGGCATGAAAAGAGAGAAGGCCAGGAGGAGACCCAGTTATTGTAACCCATATTCCACAGTTCCACTTAGAACAAAACAAGAAGAAATGGGCTTAAACTGGTTTCATGCTTATTAGGACTTCTGAGAATGACAGTTATTATTCTCTGATTAAAGACTCAAAAGAAACTGTAGGGTAGTCCCTTACAAGAGAACAAGAGTTCACCTCAAGGCAGAGAGATGGATAATTTAACTTTAGCAGATCCCTTCTAGTCCAAAAACTAGGAATGACACCCTGAAATGATGTCAACACTAATATCTGCAGAGTGTTGGAACCACTATGGAGCCCTTTTCAGACTCTGCTTTGATCTCACTCCAAGGGTTCATGCATCTAAAATAAACCAACTACAGCACAAAACTTAAGCTTGGTGCTCTGTGATGACCTGGAGGGGTGGGATGATGGGCGGGTGGGGGTAGGGGGGTTGAGAGGGAAGCTCAAGAGGGAGGGGGATATATGTATACTTATAGCTAGTTCAAATTGTTGTACAGTAGAAACTAACACAAATTTGTAAAGCAGTTATACTCCAATCTAAAAATAAATTTAAAATTAATGAAAATGGGGGATATTCAGAATAAGGCTTAATTTTCCAACTAAATCAGACTAGGATTGGATCATATTTTTAAGTAATGAAGAAAATAGGAATGTTTTGGCTTTGGTTTTTAATGGACTAGTTTCCTTTCTCTATAACTCATAGCTTCCTTGAAAATCAACTGGATTCATCTCACCAAGTCAGTATTGTGAGTGAGAAATGCCACAGTTCTGAAGGGAGATGACTGAGCAGAATGTGCGGTTTCCAAGCCGTTACTGCTGGGCTTATCAGTGTCAGTTATCAGCGGCTTCAGCTATGCCGGGAAACAAAACAATGAAGCTTTTCTCCTTTTAGGTTCCAGGAGAGCTTTTGAAAAATCCCCAACACCCCCCGCCCCCACACCTCTGATTTTAAGGAAAGAAAAAGATGTATACACAGAGTAGCAGATAAATGATTGTCCAAGATGAGGCATGAAAAGAGAGAAGGCCAGGAGGAGACCCAGTTATTGTAACCCATATTCCACAGTTCCACTTAGAACAAAACAAGAAGAAATGGGCTTAAACTGGTTTCATGCTTATTAGGACTTCTGAGAATGACAGTTATTATTCTCTGATTAAAGACTCAAAAGAAACTGTAGGGTAGTCCCTTACAAGAGAACAAGAGTTCACCTCAAGGCAGAGAGATGGATAATTTAACTTTAGCAGATCCCTTCTAGTCCAAAAACTAGGAATGACACCCTGAAATGATGTCAACACTAATATCTGCAGAGTGTTGGAACCACTATGGAGCCCTTTTCAGACTCTGCTTTGATCTCACTCCAAGGGTTCATGCATCTAAAATAAACCAACTACAGCACAAAACTTAAGCTTGGTGCTCTGTGATGACCTGGAGGGGTGGGATGATGGGCGGGTGGGGGTAGGGGGGTTGAGAGGGAAGCTCAAGAGGGAGGGGGATATATGTATACTTATAGCTAGTTCAAATTGTTGTACAGTAGAAACTAACACAAATTTGTAAAGCAGTTATACTCCAATCTAAAAATAAATTTAAAATTAATGAAAATGGGGGATATTCAGAAATTAAATAAATGTACTGATTCAGATAGATATTCAGCCTAACTCAACTGTCCAGAGGATTGACTAATAAGACATAGATAATTGAAACTCAGTTGACCTAGACAGTTTTTTGTATTTGTCATTGTCTATCTCTACTCCCAGTCATATCTCTTCGCATCTCCTAACTAGGAGTCAAACTGCCTGCCTTTCATTTCTACTTCCCTTGGTCGTCCTTTCATGGAGATGCTAACAAGTTCAGGTCATTAACAGGATGCAGGAAAGTCTGGATTGTGGTGTTTGACCCCAGGGAAACTGAGGAAAACAGCATTGTTCAACTCCCACATGTGGATAATCATCTCACAAAATAAACTGATTATATTTGCAGAAAATCAACCTGCTGCCAGCCCATCTGTTTTTGTCATGAAAAATGAGACAAAGGTCGCTTGTTTGGTGAAGGAGTTCTACCCCAAAGATATAACTATAAATCTGCAAGCATCCAAGAAAATAATAGAATATGAAACTGCTATTGTCATCTCACCTGGGGGGAAGTACAGTGCTGTCAAGCTTGGTCAGTATGAAGATCCCGATTCAGTGACGTGTTCAGTTGAACACAACAAAAAAACCTTGCACTCTACTGAATTTGAACCAAAGAAAATTATTTCAGGTAGGTTCTATCTGGCTTCAAGGGGCTGGGGTTGTGGGGAAGAAAAGTTGAGGGAAAGAGAAGTTGGAGATGTAAACTTTTGACAAATCACATTCAATATGGCATCATGCTAGAAATAAGACTTAGGTTCAGACTTAAGGATTATGCTTAATTCCCATCCCTGAAAGGGAATTTAAACTTGTTGCATCTCTGGGCTGGAATCTAGGATAAAATCCATCTTATTTCATCCCCATCTCTCCTCTTCACCAAACTCTGTCTCCTTCATACTAAAGACTCTAAGATTGAACGTTCATGTGGGATCTGATCTAGAGTGAATGCCACAACCAAGGGCAGCCCAGCTTATCTTGGTGTTCATTGTCCCAGTTCTTCCTACAAATTAGAGGCATACCTGGATGTTGGCTTCATGGCCTAATGGGGAAAAAAAAAACCTCAAGACAGGAAGCATGCTGACTGTGTCAATAGCTGTAGGACCTTGACCAAGTCACTCCTCTGGTCCTTAGTTTACTTACTTAAAGTCACCTCCAATTCTAAAACCTGAAAGCCCTTGAGCCTCTCTTGAGGTTAAAGCAAACTCTGTCATTGTTAGATGGAGCCTCTCAGTTGTCATTGTAACCCTGACCACTGCTGTTTGTTCCAGGGACTCCAAAACCGACGGAATCTGTAAACAGCACAAAAGCTCCAGTTTCAGAGACCTGCTATGAGCCCCAAGGTTAGTTGAAGCCAAAGGGCCAATTTCAGAATTGAGGTTAAAGCAAACTCTGTCATTGTTAGATGGGGCCCAAAATCATTCTATTTCAAAAGAAAACAAAAATCATGCTTGAGTCTAGTTGGCTCCCTCTAACTCTTCAAGCAGAGTCTTCCTGACTATAGGAATGGGTTTTTCCAAAGCTTGCTTTGCTGACTGTGAACAGCAGCTTCAGGTCTGTGAAGGCTGTCTGGCACCACGCTGGGCTTCAGACCAGGAAGAATGATGGTGATGTGGGGCAGGCTGGTGTTGGTGCTGTAAGCCAATATCTGGCAGGAAATTTAGCCTCTTGCTAAGTGAGTGAGCCATCTCCACTCTCGTTCATCTGCAGTGCAACCCGGGAAGGTGAACATGATGTCCCTCTCGGTGCTGGGGCTCCGAATGCTGTTTGCCAAGAGTGTCGCCGTCAATTTCCTCTTGACTGCCAAGTTATTTTTCTTTTAAGGTAAGATCTAGCTGCTTATTATTCATAACTTCACCCAAACTATGCTACACGTGGAAGAAAGGGGTTTAGGAATGATAAGAAGCATTAGGAAAGGAAAAAAACACATAGAGACCTATTACGATTCAATAAGGTGGGCCTTTCTAAATACTTAGCATAATACTGTCTCCTGTTGGCCTTTTATTTCAAGCCAGACTCAAAATTCATGTAATATAATGCAATACCAGTCAATAATCCTCACCTCCAACTGAGGAGCTAGAAAAACTGGACCTAAACAGGAAAAATCTTTTTCTTCATTGCTATTTTTGTGTATATGGCCAAAGGACCATGGGCTTTTTGAGAGACCATCAGTAAAGGCTCACTTGAAGAATATTCAGGGGAGCAGAACTTGTCTTTGCCAGACAGAGGTGACGCCAGTTTTTGATCCCTAGTCATAGGACTCAATGTGTCCACCAGCCTATCTTCGGGATGAACCTACACTCCTATTCTTAGCGAACAGCTCACTAGTAACCACTCAGGACGCATGCAAATTGAGGATGAGATGTGAATTATTTGCCTGTTACTTGCAGTCCCTCTTTGGTTATCTTGTTATTGGTATTCAGTCACTAAGTCATGTCCGACTCTTTGTGACTCCATGGACTGCAGCACGCCAGGCTTCCCTGTCCTTCACTATCTCCCGGAGTTTGCTCAAACTCATGTCCATTGAGTCAATGATGTTATCTAACCATCTGCCACCACCTTCTTCTCTTGCCCTCAATCTTTCCCAGCATCAGGGTCTTTTTCAATGAATTATCTCTTCGCATCAGGTGGCCAAAGTATCTTAGACATGAAATTTGAACCAGGACTTGGGTTTGCCTATAAAGCTCCTTCTCCAGTGCCCCCAAACACCCTTCAGTCCCAGCTCCTGATCTAAGGACAATCCTAGACTTAGTGTGTTGGACTTTTCCAACCTAGCCTGCAAGCATCCTCAGTCATTCCCCAACAGTTGAGTGTTTTACAAGCCATCGCAAGGACACAGGCCAAATAGCTACGTGAAAAGGACCTTCTGACCTCAGTAGGATCAGAAGCACTAGATTTTAGTTCCAACTTTGTCACTAACTCACTACATCACCTGAGCCAGTTTGCTTCACCCTGTTGGACCTGGGTTATCACATCTGTAACACAAAGCAGTGAAGAATAACTAAAGGAGAACAGATGGGTTTTATGACTGGTGCCAACACTGCTAAACTGATAGTGACTAGCTGAACTATCACCATGTGTAGAAGGAACATATGCCAGGATAGGTTAGTGATGTCTGCAATGGTACAACCACAGCAAGTACTGACCATCCCCATGACTGCTACGATTCCTTCCAGCACTGAAGGTCTATGATTCTATAGCTCTGACAGTTTTCCTTCATTTGCAGGCTGACTGGCATGAGAAGGCTACATTCCCTGAAAGAAACCAAAAGCCTACAGAGGAACTATCTCCTAGGCTTTCAACTTTTTGGTGATTCAAGTTGACCCGTCCCAGCCTTGCTTAAATGGCTGTTCCCCCAAACTGGTTTTCCTTTAAAGGCAACAAATCCAGCTTATCCTTCAGCCTGATAAAAGATAGAAGTCCTGGGGAGTGGGGGCTTATGGCCCCAACTGTTTTATATGCTGCTTTATAAAGGGATAAGAGATATGAAGGTATATAGGGCTTATTTTTTTTCCTATGACTGACATACTTTGAAAGTGGTGTTTTGTTCCTTTGACTTTCTTTGCCTCCAGAACTAGAAAGTGGGACCCATCCGGTTCCCAGCTCCATCCTCCAAGAGGAAAAATAGATCCTGGGGAAAGGAGAGTGGATCTCCTTCTACCTAAATGTAAAAGCCTCTGTTCAACCCAGCACTAGATTTGCCCAAACTAGCGTTCTCGTCTACAAAGGCACTTTCTGCTTTCCCTATTACTTGGCAAACAAAACTACACTTGACTCCCTAATACTCTCTGTGTAGGCAATGGGGTTTCTAAAGTCTCATATAAATACTCTCAGAGCTGTTAGCAGAGATCAGAGTAAAATGCAGAGGAAATGTGCTTTTCTCAACTTAACAAACATGAATTATTGCAAGTTCCAGGCACTGTGCTGAGAGTGCAAAAATAAGTAAGACATGAGTCTTGCTTTCAAGCAACTCACTGTGCAAGTATTTTTGGAAGGAGGGATAGGAATGAGTGCCCAGTATTTCCCTGTAAAACCAGAGTCTTCCTGACCCCTTGCCTGCCCATCTGTGCATGGGGAATTTGAGGGCACTGGATCTTTGGTGTTGATGGTTTTCTGCCATTCTTTTTTGTCTCTGTTGCATTTATTAAAGTGCATTGTACGTACCTTGCTTCTGACTTTATTCTTTGTGGACCACTGCAGGGGGAAAGTGGGGGGGAGGGCTGTGAATTCACTAGTAGTCAGACAAAAACCAAACTGAGCTCATAGGTCACGCCACAGCTTCCTGGGCCCCTAGCCCAGCGCTGGGTTTCCTGCTGTTGTTGCCGCAGCTGCTACAAAAGCAGCAGCGCCCCTCCTCGCATGTGGCCACTGACCTCGGCTCCTCTCACTCGGCAAGGCCAGCTCCATCCCTTTGCAGGAACACAGGTATCAGAGGCCTAGAAACCCAGCACTGCGGGTGCCTCAGCACCTCTGCGGGGTGTCAGCTGGGGACTCACGAGGTTACAAGGGAAAGAGCAAGGCTCACCCACAACTCCCCCGCCTTTGCCATCTGCAGACTGCCACGTCAGGTCCTCACACCCCAAACCAAAGAAAGGAGGCAGCTGCATTCTGAGTCAGTGAGTTTAGGACAATCTAGGTGGATAAGCCAGGTCTATCCTGGGAAAAACCACTAGAAGATTCCACACATTGTCACCTCATGGGCATCAAGAATGCCTATTTCCAAAACATGTGCATCTGTTACCTTGGGCCATTCTTAGAATATTTCTCTGAAGTTGCTAAAAACTAAAAGATCATAGATTCATTTTTCAGGTGGAAAAAAAATGCCCCCCAAAAAGTTGTGTACCTTGTCCAAAGTCATTCAGTGGGGCAGGGATATTTCTGGGAGCAGAACCAAGTTATCAGGGGTGCCAACTCCAAGTTCAAACAGTCCTGCACTTAGCATATGAATGGGCCGCCCACTGGCCCACTTTGATCATCAGCAAAAGGCAACCTGGCATTGTAGAGGACTATGAATTTCTTCCACCAAAAGGACCCTCCAGAAAAGATTTAAGGCTGGAGCCAGAGGGGACTGTGGCTGCCTTCAGGTGTGGGGACCTTGCTACCATGGATTATAGGTTTCCAGAGCTTTCACATGCAGAATCTCAAGTCCCACAAGGACCCGAAAGGGGTTTACAGAAGAGTATTACACACACTCAGTAGGTGGCAGAACGAAGCCCCAGAGGCTGAGTCATTTGCCTGAAACTTTGGCTCCCTCACCCATGTTCTTTCCTTCCTTCTCTATAGCGACTACTCTCCACTTGCCTGTGCTGAAGCCCAGACAAATTGCTGCCCAAGCTGCCGACTGCTACAGCCTCCTAGGGCGCAGCTGCATGGGAGCACCCAGAAATGCAGCCCCGCTCCCTTGGCCCGGTCATTAAACAGCTCAGTGACCTTCTGATTGTCCCTCACTTCTCTGGGCTTCGATGCTTTTCCCATAAAATAACGTCTAACGTGTCTACTAGGGCTTCTCCAGTGGCTCAGCCATAAACAATCTGCCTGCAGTGCAGGAGACTGGTTCAATCCCTGGATCAGGAAGATTAGTTGGAGAAGAAATGGCAATCCACTCAAGTATTCTCTCCCGGAGAATTCCATGGTCAGATGGCAACCTACTCCAGTATTCTTGCCTGGAGAATTCCATGGATGAAGGAGTCTGGTGGGCAACAGTCCATGGGGTCACAAAAGAGTCTGACACGACTTAGCGACTCAACCACCACCACCAAGACTTCTACTATTTCTAAGATTACACGTAATAACTCTAATAGTTGTCTTAAGGCAGAAACATCAGTAGTAGAGGAAGGAGGGGTGCAATCCCAGGCTGAGGGTGTATCTATTTTTGACATCACATTCTGGTTTACCCTGGAGGTAATTCTCTCCCCTGGGGATGCCACTGGGCTCCAAACTCAGGAACTTTGAAGCTGGGATTCTGGTTTTCACAGACAGCTTTCTGGGAATAACTCAAAGCTCTTTGGTGAAAGGAAAATATTCTCCAGACAAAGTAAAAGGAGGTACCAAAGAACATCCCAGAGAAATAAAGTAACTGCACAAGAAGATGTTCATGAAAGGTAAACTGGGGACATTTTTTAAAGTAAATAACTTTGTGTCCAATTTGAATCTTAAAAGGGAAACAGGCCAATTCCAACAATGGATAAATGATGGAGATAAAATAAACACACTTCCAATGGTGTGTTTAGATACTCTCTTTAGATTGGTCCCCCACCCACCCCATCTGGCTATCCACCCAGGGCACGCAGCACATCCCTGTCAAGCCCTTCTCTGTATCAGGCACAACCCGGGCACCGGGTCCCTCAGACAGGCAGTCTCCCTTCCCCACCACGGGCACCAGGGCAGCAAGGGCCCTCTATGAAGTGGGGCGACATCTCTTCCATTGGAAGTCGGGGTGCTCCCCTGCAAGTAACCAGGCTTTTTTGTATTAGGCAGACACGTTAGGGCACCTCCCAAGGCCAGACTGGACCACAGAATGACGAGGAAGAAGGATGTCATGTCCAAGAACATGAGCTGCCCAGAGAAGCAGCTCTGCGAGGCTGTGCCCGGGGGTTTGTGTGGAGACTTCCTGGGTGCCTGCATCACTGTGGGAGCTCTAAAGCACAGTAGTAAGTGGCGGTGTCTTCAAGCCTCACGGAGGAGATCACCAAGTGGAAGGTTTTGTGGCTCACACTATGCTGCACGGAAAATCTACCCTGAGCAAAATCTGCATCATGGGATTTAGCGTTGTCCCGATACAGGACAAACTGGAAGACACCATCTGGTCTTATTCGGTACCAGTACAAGTCTGGATTTGAATATATGGTTTGGAAAGTGCAGAGCAGTGTCACCTCACTGCCACTCGCCACTCTCTGCTCCGGGGAACTCTGGGTCACTTGGTTACACAGCACACCCTTGTCTGTGAAGAGAAAAAATAAGGAAACAGTGAGGGGCTATGTTCTGCAGGTCCTGGGTCCAGCACAGGCCCACCCAGGGGAACTCAATGGGCAGAGGCAGGAGAAGGACACAGAGAGGAAAATTAAAGGCGGAAAATAACTGGAAAATCTAGTGTGAATGGGAAAGAGCCCAAGCCTCGGAAAATCAGAAACAGGGAAACGGATGATAGAATAAGTAGGACATAACAGTGAGTGCACTTACAGAAAAGCAAAAGGCTGAAGCCCACAGGGAGAAACATCTTTTTATATCAGGGAGGAGGATATAGAATAAAACTGGGCTCCTTAAACCTCTGAGACTGTCTCTGGGGCTTCTGAAGAGAAGGAGATGGGAGGGACGTGGCAGGAGTGGAACAGCCCTGACAGTCACGTGCCTGAATTAGCTGTAAGCTGTAACTCTCAGAGGCACATGCTTCCAACCCAGGAAACGTCGTTGTTGTTGTTTTTGTAGTCCTCAACCCTCTTGAACTAATCCTTTGGTAAAACACAATGAAAATGAATTAGTTTTTTAAAAAGGAAAAAAATAGAAATTACAAGCCTAATGATCACATACTTCGATATCAAATTGCCCTGCATGCTGCACGCTCAGTTGCTTCACTCATGTCCAACTCTCTGCGACCCTGTGGACTATAGTCTCCCAGGCTCCTCTGTCCGTGGATTCTCCAGGAAAGAATACTGGAGTGGGTTGCTATGCCTTCCTCCAAGGGATCTTCCTGACCCAGGGTTCGAACCCGCGTCTCCTATCTCTCCTCCATTGCAGGCAGATTCTTTACCCACTGAGCCATCAAGGAAGCCCTAACACTGGCTCATTGTCCATTTCCACATCCTCTGGGGACAGACTGGGTACTGGTCCAGTATCGCACTTTGAGTCTCACGCACGAGCCCAGCTGCTATGCTCAGTTGCTTCACTCATGTCCAACCCTCTGCGACCCTGTGGACTATAGTCCCCCAGGCTCCTCTGTCCGTGGATTCTCCAGGAAAGAATACTGGAGTGGGTTGCTATGCCTTCCTCCAAGGGATCTTCCTGACCCAGGGTTTGAACCTGCGTCTCCTATCTCTCCTCCATTGCAGGCAGATTCTTTACCCACTGAGCCATCAGGGAAGCCCTAACACTGGCTCATTGTCCATTTCCACATCCTCTGGGGACAGACTGAGTACTGGTCCAGTATCGCACTTTGAGTCTCACGCACGAGCCCAGCTGCCCATACCCGGGGCACTCGGTACATGGAACAAATGGATGGGGCCCTTCACCTAGTATTATATCTTTGTGTAATGAGAAAAGGAAGAGGCTTGGATAAGGTCATTTCTAAAATCTTCTCTAGGGACTTCCCTGGTGGTCCAGTGGCTAAGACTCCACGCTCCCAATAGAGGAGGGGCTTGGGTTTGATCACTGGTTCACGGAACTAGACCCCACATACCACAACTAAAGAACCTGCATGCTGTAATGAAGACAGAAGATTCTGCACGCTGCAACCAAGACCTGATGTGGCCAAAGAAATAAATATTTTTTAATAAATAAAATCTGCTCTAGCCCTGAATTCTAGAACTCTTGTTTCTTTTGCTGTTGTTGTTGCTTTTATATTTTCATACAAGTTTTTAATGTTACACTCTGTTCACGATTATTACAAAATATTGAACTCCTCTATTTCTTTTTCCCCCAGTTTTTTTTATTTTTTCTTTCTTTTTAATTTTTTAAATTCTGAAAGCATGATAAAGTTACCAGAGACTTGGAAAATACAGAACAAAGTAACATACAGTTCCACTCTACATTACAATTATTTTCTTAAGTAGCTAAATTAAGATTTTTAGTTGGAGTTTCAGTATTAAACTCTCAAAAATGAATAGAATGAATATACAGAAAAGCAGAAGGATCGATTTCTGATGGATCAGGAGGGCTGCAATTCTGAGATCATTCTTTCACTTCCCGCAGTCTGATTTCCATCTCTCCTGCAGCACACACTTGGCCCCAGCTGGAAAATTCTCCCCTGAAGCAGCACTTCCCAGTGGGTGAGCTGCCGTGAGTAGGTTACAAAGCTGCTGAGACAGTGCTCCCAGGGGCCACTGGGACCTGGGGTAGCTGGAGCCTCCTGGGTCAGCCCCTCCTGGCCACACTCAAGTACAAATATTATCTTCTGTATAAGCCAAGACATGACAACTGCTGGGAGGCACTGCCCTAAAAGAACAGATGACCAGCTTGCTCTCCCAAACCTAGGAGTGTTTCTAGGAGTGCTCTGGAGTCCCTCTGTTTCCCTGTCCCCCACCTTCAGTTCATCAGAAAGGACTGCCAGCTCCACCAAGAAGTGTGTCTCCAAGTGCCTCCACTTCTCTCCACCCCCACCCCCTCCTGCCAATACCACCCTCTTGTGTCAGGCCCATGGCAGTAACACCCCAACTGGTCCCCTTGCCTCTGCTCTTGCCCCTGGACAATCCCTCTCCAGGTCTTCATAAAATGTAAACCTAATGATGTCAGGGGGGCCTCCTATCCTGGCCTGTGACCCACTGCACATGGTGGGACCGCTGCTGTCTGCCAGCATCCTCGAGTACCCTCTCTACACCCATCACTGCCCTTCAGCTGCTGTGGCCTTCCTTCTGCTCCTCTCCCTGCTTCCCTCTTCTAGCTGCCTGAAATTCTGCTTCCAGTTTTTTACCAGTCTCAGCTCTGAGAGTCTCTCCCTGGCAAATAAATGTCACTCACTTGGGTACCCAGAGTCCCCCTCAATTTCAGCTCTGTCTTATTTTCACATCTCATCAATCACTATATTTGATGTCACTGGGCTTACACATGCTTATTATTTGCCTTTCCCTTCTCACCCTGTATGGGCTTCCCTGATAGCTCAGTTGGTAAAGAATCTGCCTGCAATGCAGGAGACCCCAGTTTGATACCTGGGTTAGGAAAAGCCGCTGGAGAAGGGAAAAGCTATCCACTCCAGGATTCTTGGGTTCCCTGATGGCTCAGCTGGTGATGAATCTGTCTGCAATGCAGAAGACCCAGGTTTGATCTCTGGGTTGGGAAGATCCCCTGGAGAAGGGAAACGCTACCCACTCCAGTATTCTGGCCTGGAGAATTCCATGGACTGTATAGATGTGGTTACAAAGAGTCAGACACAACTGAGCAACTTTCACTTTCACTTTCTCACCCTGTGTACATACATATACACGGTGAATCCTAGCCCCTAGGACTGTGTCTGCCATGTATCTGGCAATCAACATATATTTGTGAACAAAGGAATATAACTTTCTACACTTAAAAACTCACCACTGGCATGGCTAAGTTTGCCAGATTTTTTTTTATTGAAGTATAGTTGATTTACAATGTTGTATTAGTTTCTGGTGTACAGCATAGTGATTGCTATTTATATGTACATATATATATATATATATATTCTTTTTAACATTCTTTTCCGTTTTGGATTATTACAGGATATTGAATATAGTTTAGTTCCCTGTGCTATACATAAGACCTTGCTGTTCATCTATTTTATCTGTAGTACTTTACACAGTATTTGTCTTTCTCTTTCTAACTTACTTCACTCAGTATGATAATCCATAGATCCATCTGTGTTGCTGAAAATGGCATTATTTCATTCTTTTTCTGGCTGAGTAGTATTCCATTGTGTATATATACCACATTTTCATTATCCATTCATCTGTCGATGAACATTTAGGTTACCTCCATATCTTGGCTATTGTAAGTAGTAAAGATGACAGATTTAACAAATAAAAATACAGGACATTCAGTTAAGTTTGCATTCCAAATGAACAACAACAACAAATTTTTGGTAATAATTGGAGCTTCCCTGGTAGCTCAGCTGGTAAAGAATCCACCTGTAATGTGGGAGACCCCAATTCTATTCCTGGGTCAGGAAGATCCACTGGAGAAGAGATAGGCTACCCACTCCTATATTCTTGGGCTTCCCTGGGCTCAGCTGGTAAAGAATCCACCTGCAATACAGAAGACCTGGGTTTGATCCCTGAGTTGGGAAGATCCCCTGGAGAAGGGAAAGGCTGCCTACTCCAGTATTCTGGCCTGGAGAATTTCATGGACTCTATAGTCCATGGGGTCGCAAAGAGTCAGACATGACTGAGTGACTTTCACTAGTAATAATTGGGACATGCCATATTTGGGACATATTTATTCTAAAAAGATATTCATTGTTTTTCTGAAATTCAAATTTCACTGGACATTTTGCATTTTATCTGGCAATCCTTGTCATGAAGATCACCGAAAGCATATCCCAGGAAGTCTGAAACCCCAGTGTGAGCATCCCCAGGCCCCCGGATGTGAAAGAGGGAGGTTCCGTAACCAGGTTGCTATGTCCGATCAGCTGTTGCCAGGCCTGCACTGCCTCCTGCAGGCAGGGGTTCCCCTCTCAAAGGCACCAGCCCCTCTGAGAGGGAAGGCCACTTGGAGCTTCTGGTTCTGAGATAATGCGCTCTGGCAACCTGCGCTCAGTCTTTGGGAGTCTGTCCCTGCTCTAAAGGTGGTGCGAAACATGATATTTATGAGAGCTGAGTGCTCCCTTCCTGACCTAGGCAATATAACAGTTTACAAATTAAACTGCTGCTCCTCTTCTGACAGCCCAACCTTAGTTACATCTGCCCACACTCGAGAACAGAGGAGAGGGCTTCAGAGACCCTCACTCAGGGGCATCTGCCCTCTCCCTAAGCCTTCACACTGAGACCTTCTCAGGGTGGCACAATCATAAAACGACCCCCTCCCCACCAGGGTGTCCTTCCATCACTCCTTGAGAGGCGTCGCTTCAACCAGGGCACTTCTCAGAACAGCAGTGCAGTAAGGAGTGGGGCTCCGGATCCACACCACTTGGGTTCCTATCAGCTCCAGCATCTTGCTGTGAGACCTTAAACACAACCTAACTCCTCCTCAAGCCTGTTTCTCCATCCATAAAGTGGAGATGAAACTAATAATAGTTTTTTTCACAGGACTGCTGGAAAATTAAATGAAATAACACAAGCAATACACCCAGCAAGTGATCTAAGAGTGCTAGTCATTGCTGTTGCTATTGTCGTTTTTGTGAAATAGACTGATGAATAAACTCCTGAGAGCTTGAGTCTCATCAAAGATGTTCAGAAATAAGATGCTGAGTAAATCTGAAAAATAAAGTTGTGAAATCACACCAAAAAAATTTTTAAACCATGTTGTACCAATCAATGGCAAATAAAAAAGGGACTCTCATCTTTCATTTCTGTCACTGCCGTAAGTATGTCATAGAGCTCTGTGCTCCCCTAAGACCTGAGCCAGCTATGCTTATCCCAAACCCCTAAGAGCACTGGGAATATGA